GATGTCTAACCAAAGAAAAAAAAAAAAAATGTTTGTTTGTTTGTTTGTTTGTTAAATATTTGATTTTTTTTTTAAGTTTTTCGTTAATTATGTGTAAATATAGCTTTACGTTGATCCATTGTTTAAATATTACTCATAAATTCATTGATTTTCTAAAATAAAGTCGTCTTTTTGACCGAATATTTAAACAGTGCCACTTACTCTGTGTTTGACGACTATATCCGTCATCGGTTGATTATCGCGACTCACACTGGGGCGCACTTTGCAAAATGATCGACACAGTTAACTGGTTAAACTATTATGGTGATACCATTATTAATAAAAATATACCATTTCCTGTCTTCGTACGTTCCTTCTCTTTTATAAGTCACCAGAATAAAACAAGAAAGAAAGAAAAAAAGAAGGTCAGTGATTATTCGTTTGGATAAAAGATAAACCATCGTCGTCGTTCATGGGTAAGAAGGAAACGGAGAGGAGTAAAGGAAATAAAATAAAATTTAGATAAAGGACGATGGTAGAGAAGGAGTCTTTGCAGGAAATAAATCGTTCGAATAAGGAAGGATGACTATACCTTTCCTTTTCTATCTCAACTGACTTCCTAACGTACAAACACACACATGTAGAAAACAGTAGAACAGGTATATACATATATACCTGCCTAGCACTTACATTTTTCCTATCCCTTTCCTTTTCATGGTGAATCCTTTTCCTTGAGTCAACGTCAAGAACATCGCGTTCTCTCACGCGCAGAGATTTTTCACGTTTCCTTCTCACTTTATTCCTCTTTCCCAACTGAAATACTATCTCGTCTAGTCCCTACCTCTTTCTTCTTTCTTTTTATTTTACTTTCTTTTTTTCTCTCTCTCTCTCTTTCCTTTTGTTTTTGGTATTTTTGTATCTTTTTCTTCGTTTATATCCAAAAGAAACGATGTGATGAAAAGGAGACTCGCACGAGGAGTCACGTTAACGATGTCTCACCGTTCTCGACTTACTCGACAAGTAGAAGGAGACAGAAATAAAGTGGTAAAACGAAATACAGAAAGACAGACAGACAGACAGACAGACAGATAGACAGATAGATAGATAAAAAGATTTAGATGAATAAGAAATCTTGGAAACTTTATTCGGTTTTATTCTTAGCAATGTGATTTAACTAAAAGTTTTAAACGTTTTAATAAAAGATTAGATTATTTTATCGAACTTAACTACCACACTGAAATAAAAAAAAAAAAAATAGAATAAGATAAAATAAAGAGAATATGATATAGCCTTGAAATTCGTAAATACAAGTTAAGAAGAGTACCTTAATAAAGAAGATCACCTACTGTCCTCAGAAAAGAATGATTGAGACGTACGACTCATGTTTCGTTTCTTTTTTATTGATTCAATAACAAGAGCTTTCCCTTTCCCCCTCCCCCTCCCCCACCTTCCAAGTTTTGACGACAAAGACGACGCCTCGTTTTCCTCGTCTTCTTTATCGTCTTTGAACGACACCATCGTTTATTTTATTTATTACCTATCACACCTTTTTTTCTTCTCTTCATCATCTTCCATCATTTTATTATATAAAGGAGAGATAAAATAGAGATTTTTTTCGTAATAATATATACTCGAAAGAAGAAAAAAAAATATTATTTAATAATAATTAATCTCTCGTTGACACAGAGATTACACGAAGATAAAAGTTATTAATAAAAATGAAAATTAATTAATTAGTTATTTCTCTCGTCCAAAATTATAATTCTTAATGATAAGGGTTCATAGGGAACTTGGACATAAAAAGAAGTAGAACTTAATTTAACTAAGTTGAACGTTTCGTCCCTTTATTGAGACTTCTTCAGTAACCTAATCTTTAAAGTTCAGCGTCTTTTTTTTATTGTGTAGACATACATTTTTATTTTTATTAATATTCCAAACACAAAACATCTAAACTTCGTGAAATATTCGATCGTTACGATTTGAAACTCTCAACAACAATGTTTCATATTTCAAACAATAACACGGTCAATTTTAGAACTGACACGAATAATTKAAATCACATCTATAACGGAATTTTTWAAATTTAACGATAATAAATRGAACACGACAATAGAGGGACACCTTACATTGAAGATATCTAGACTAATAAACACTAGTCTAGATTGAAACAATGTTGTTAAGAGTTTCAAATCATAACGATCGAATATTTAACGAAGTTTAGATGTTTTGTGTTTGGAATATTAATAAAAAGAAAAATGTATGTCTATACAATAAAAAAAAAGACGCTGAACTGTAAGATTAAGGTAACATGTTAAAAAA